CCTCTTCCCACTCTGGGGCTGGCTGAGTAGGTCTGGAAGGGGGTTGCTAGATAAAATATAGGATAAAATAAAATACAATTGTGTCCCAAATATTGCATGGGACATACTTATCCTAAAACAATTATTTGTCATCTGAACTTCAAACGTAACTGGCTGCCCTGAATTTTTGTTTGCTAAATTGGCCAACCCTGTCTGGAAGCAATGGTGTGCTGGAGCTGACTTGTATCAGCTCATAAGACCCCGTTGTTAAATTTTCAGGAATTGTGTGAGCTGTTTATTAAATCACTGGTAGTTTGAAATTAATCACGGTGGGAGTATTTACACCATGGAAACTGGCAATCAATACAAATCAGTAGTTCCTTCTCTCTCTCTTGCGCTCTTTTTTTTTTTTTAGAGCTGGTTGTTAAACATTTACCAGCACACCGTTTTACAGAGGCTTCCTTGTCTCTAATAGGTGCTCTGCAGTCACATGGGAGTCAGATAGCATCTGAGGGTAGCTATCAGGCTTAGTATACTAGAAAATGAAATATTCTACTCCTAGGATCCTAGAGTAAGGCTGCTAGAAACTTAGAATCCTAAAACAAGAATGTTAGAACCCCAGAATTTCAGAAGATGGAATGTATGTTGAAAGCAGGGGCTGCTAGACACTACTCATGCCAACCCCTCACTAGCAGATAGACGGCCAAGGCCTCAGAGCCTGACCAGAGCCCTGGCTGGCCAGCCTGGCTCAGGGCTCAGACCTTTTGCGGGCCGCAATGAGACAGACCCTGCTGTTGGAAGCGTTAGTGACGGAGTAGGTCTGGAGGCTATGCAGAAGCTGCTTGATATCAAAGCCAGCATCCAGGACAGCCTGCTCCACCTCCTCCTTCTCCAGGACCACAGAGGAGAACTTGTACTTCCCCACCATGTAGGACGAGACCTGGAGAGTGACCGTGGTCACCAGGTGGCCCCCCGGCTTGAGCAGCCAGGCGAGGTTGCACAACGCAGCACGGTAGGCATCCAGGCTGCAGCAGGCGCACTCCACGGCCAGCAGGATGAGCACGCAGTCGGCGGGGGGCAGCACAGCCGGGGCCAGCGGGTTGCCCAGGCGGATGTCACGCTTGAGCACCCGCTTCACCGTGGATCACAGCTTCTTCCCCTTCTCCTTCTCCTGCCACCAGCTGCTGCAGAGACAGAGTGGCACTCAGGGGAGGTACGTCTCGGTCCCAAAGGAACTCTCAGCCGGCTGTGACCAGCAGATAGGGGTTATCTCTGGACCCAGAGGACTGCTATTCCTTAGTCCTAGTGTGACCTCATGGCAGGCTCTTCCTTAACCTGCACCCGAGTTTCGCCAGCAGGAAAATGGTCAGAGAGAGGGACCAGATGAATTGCAGAAAGCTTCTCCTCTCTGAGTCCACGTGAGCCCCTCCCCTTGATCTCCAGAAGAGACAAGGAGCCCCCAGTGTGGATTGGGCA